TGAGGTGCCTTCGCACGGACGAAGACTGAGGATGACGACGAAAGATGTATTTTTAATAATGTTTATTTATGTGTATTTTTATATTCAGGAAGGTAGAGGTACCGACACTCCTAGCTGTGAGGTATGCATTAAGACTACAAGAACAGGTAACCATATATCCCAGACCCTAATTTGGCATTCGCAATATGAGTGTAAAGGAGATGTATCAAGATGTAGATACTTAAATATAGAATATAGTGTGTGTCATTTAGGAGTAGGAGAACCTAAGTGCTTCAGTCCTGAGTATCAACCCCGTACAATTTGGTTGACTCTCAGAAATGGAGATTCTCAGGGGACCCTAATTAATAAGACGGTATTAAAATCCGTATATTCTTCAGGTGCTCTGCTATTTGATGCGTGTAAAGCAATATCAAGTGGTAGAAAGCCGTGGAATGTATGTGGGGATCTTAGATGGGAGAGGACGTATGGGTCTAACGATAAATATATTTGTCCCAGTAGTAAAAATAAATATGTAAGTCCAAGATGCCCAAATAGAGATTATAACTTCTGCCCATATTGGTCTTGTGTGGGGTGGGCGACTTGGGGACAGACAGCAGACAAGGACATGATTGTGACTAAGTTGCCTACTGATCCATATTGTAAGTCTATGGAATGCAATCCAATCCATATACTTATAAATAACCCTGACAAGTTCTTAGATAAATATGGTAATTTATTTGGGTTTCAAATATATGGGACGGGTTTAGACCCTGGGACAATATTGTTTATAGGGATAGAGACTGATACGGTAACCTCCCAAACTCATCAAGTATACCATTCCTTTTATGAAGAGATGAGCATAGATAATAAGATCCCCCATAATGCTAAAAACTTGTTCATTGATTTAGCCGAGAGTATTGCCGGTAGTCTTAATGTTACCAACTGCTATGTGTGTGGAGGTACTAACATGGGAGACCAATGGCCTTGGGAAGCAAAGGAGGTAATGTCCGGTTCTGAGGCAGTTGACCAATTAATATCTACACAAGCCGACTATCATATGAGTGTTAGAGGTAAATCTGAGTGGAGATTGAAGACCTCCATCATAGGTTATGTTTGCATAGCGAGGAAAGGAATGATGTATAATACTTCTGTAGGAGAATTAACTTGTCTAGGGCAAAAAGCTTATGATGATGATACAAAGAATACAACTTGGTGGTCGGCTTCAAATGTCTCAGAACCATCTAACCCGTTTGCAAGATATGCCAATTTAAAGGACGTATGGTTTGATCTATCCATCACATCTAACTGGAGAGCCCCAGCGAATTTGTACTGGATCTGTGGTAAGAAGGCCTATTCGGAGTTACCACAGGACTGGGAAGGGGCATGTGTGTTGGGTATGTTGAAACCATCCTTCTTCTTGTTGCCTATTGAAACAGGTGAGACTTTAGGTGTTAAAGTGTATGATGTGAATCATAGGAAGAAAAGGGGACCCATAGAGATGGGTGCCTGGGAAGATAATGAATGGCCTCCCCAGCGTATTATAGATTATTATGGGCCAGCCACGTGGGCAGAGGATGGTACCTTTGGTTATAGAACCCCTATTTATATGCTCAACCGCATTATAAGGTTACAGGCGGTGGTTGAGATCATTACTAACGAGACATCACAAGCGCTCAATCTTCTAGCGAAGCATAATACCAGGATGAGGACAGCAGTTTACCAAAATAGATTAGCCTTGGATTATCTTTTGGCAGTAGAGGGAGGTGTATGTGGGAAGTTTAACCTGAGCAATTGCTGTCTTCAAATAGATGACGAAGGGCAAGCAATAGCTGAGCTTACTAGCCATATGGTTAAACTAGCGCATGTGCCTACTCAGGTATGGAAAGGGTACAATCCAAGTAGTTGGTTTGGTAGCTGGTATGAGTGGTTTGGAGGGCTTAAGGCAGTGGTAGGTGGAGTCCTACTGATTTTAATGTTGTGTCTACTCCTGCCGTGTCTTATACCCTTAGTAGTTAGGTCTGTGCAAAGCCTGATAGAAAATATAGCAGAGAGGAAGGCTGCTGCACAGATAATGGCAATTTATAAATATAAGGCTCTAGATCAGGGAGAACCAATGCAGGAAGACGAGTGTTGAAGATTCACATCATAGGATAAGTCTGGTCTGGTTCAAAGGTAACTTGTGGTGTATGCAAACCAAGGTTAAGTGATGCCTCAAGTAATTGTAAAATATCAAGAGGCATCAAAGGGGGGAATGTGGTGGAATCTCGGTAAAAATAAATTTAGTAGGCCGAGATTACCACGTGGCATGTGTACGTGCATATGCTGACGTATCGATCAGTTGGTTGCACGAGGCAAGATACGATCAGTAGTGTACGGAGCATGTGCAAGAATACAGGATGTAGTATTCCCCTCCTCCATTGTGCTGGACAAGCCATGCGGTCAAGCAGGAAGTTAATTCTTATTTGTAATGATTGGTCAAGAGAATGTGCGGGTGGAGCTTAATATGGGAGGAGTTATGTGCCTATATAGGGAGCCTGCACTATTGTTCAGGGCTCAGAACTTGCTGTATTTTTGGTGACATTAGTCCCTCTGAGTCCCGATCGGTGATCCAATAAAGAATCTCTTCCTTCCTGAAGAAACCTGTGTCCATCTCTCTGTGCTTTGCTTCCGTCAGTTTCTCCGGTATCACTTTATCTGATGCTGATGTCCTCAGTGACCTCCAGCATCAGATTTTCCCTATTGGAAAGAATTGAATAATGCTTTCCTATGGGGAGGTCTAATGCGCGCAGGCATTGCCTGACCCAGCGCAGAGGAACACTGGCGCTAGATTCAGGTAAGTGGCTAAAGGGGTTTTAACCTCTTCACCCCCGAGGGAGGGGGACACCTATTAACCCTATAGTGCTAGGAAAACGACTTGGTTTTCCTGGCACTATAGGATCCCTTTAAAGGGACCTGGGAATATGCACCCAGAATGAGATGAAGTGGTCGGGGTACCTATAGTGTCCCTTTAAATTTGAAATCCACTCTGAATTACTGAGAATTCTCACTTTAGTAAATAACCCTGTGATATGAAAGTTCTTATATTTGCATTGATGACATCAGTTATCGGTCCTTTTCGGATGGAACTCGCTACCTCTGCCTATGTTCTCAGAACTTTGTTCAAATAGGGATGACATGGATATAACATGGAAAGACAGCTTCTACTTTAGATGTATAGCAGAAGAGAGGGGCTTTTTCTTCCTGAAGAACAGAAATTTTACATTCTGCATGCAGGAGTAACCTCTAATTATATCATGAAACACCCACAGGAAAAGTCATGAATCACAGGCCAACCTCAGCATAAGCCAGGGAATTCCGCTCCTAATGTAAAGACACATGCTTTACTATCATTGCATTAGGACTACTAACTTTATTCACCCTTTTCTTTTTAATCTTTGCAATGTTGTAAATGCATATAGAGTTGGATATCTTGAAGCAGAGTGCGATATTTTCTAAACAATCTAGAACATCCTACATTCATATTACTTGTTATGACAGATAATTGCATCATACCAGACAACTGCAATAATTTGCTTTTAACGTGTATTAAATCTAGGAGTCGATAATAGCAAAATAAAACATATACAAAATGTTTACACATTGCAACAATGAATATCGCAACAAATCAAAAACTCACGCACCATTAACTACTATATACTAAAAAACACACACCCAGTATTAACATAAAAAAAATAAAAATAAAACAACATCCTAATGACACTTCCATGAATATTGCTAGCTATGGAAGTACAATACACACACATAATATATATATATATTAGGCTCACTAATGGTCATTGCTATGATTTATCAGGTACTGTAAAGAATGTAAGATTTCATCAAATAGATGAGTTGATGAAATGTGTTGAACCAACATACAACAAAATAAATGTTAAAACAGACATCCTGAAACAAAATTATCCATCAGTTTCTTTTCTCATTTGGTCATTCAAGGTTCAACTTTAACCCCTTAAGGACCAAACTTCTGGAATAAAAGGGAATCACGACATGTCATGTGTCCTTAAGGGGTTAAAAGTGAAATATTTTAATACACAGTTCAGTGAGTAAACAGACACCAAGCACAAGGGCTTTTTTCTACTTTTTAAGATTATTTGAAAGTCAACTTACACTTGACTTGGGGAATTTTAACGCCACTGCAACACAGGAGAATAGAACAGCCACAAATGAGGAAAGAAAAAAAAAGTATAAAGAACTCTGTGTGTCAGGGTCACCAAGTTTCTCCTTTTTTTGGGGGGGGGTTATGAACATTAAATTGATTTAAAGGGACATATCTGATAATAGTTTAAAAACTGACAGAACCCCTTGTACACACATTGGTAACCTAGTCTCAATGCACAGCTTATACAATAGCAAAATAAATAAATAAAAGGTCTTGTTCAGCACTTCAATTTATCATAACCCTTCTTGCCTTGAACTCCTTTTATTTGAGAGATGAATGTAAGATATTTTAGATCTACACTGCACTATTCCATGTTATGTTCTGCAGCATGCCTATTATTATTATCATTATTATTCCTGTAAGGTTTCTGAAGCTGAATACTAGGCAAGTTTAAGAAAATATATATTTATATAAATTAAAATAAAGGAAGAAGAGGAGAAGGGAGGTGTGTTCAGTAAGCCCAAAGCATCCAACACAGAGGAAGCCCTCAGCTTTGTAGCTAGCCAGCTGCCTGGAGAGGGGGGGACATTAAGAGTGGTGGTCCAGGAGGCAGCTCACCACATGTCATAGGACTACAACTCCCAGCATGCTCTGTGTGTGAGGGTTGAGCCTGATAGGAGTAGTAGTAGCTCTGCGCTGTGGTCAGCCCTGGCTGCCAGCCGGGTACAGGGAAGATGCGGACTCTCTTACCCAGAAGGGGTCGGTGCCGTCATAGCTGCAGAAGGATTCCATCCCGGGGTTCCAGCGGGGAAACAGCCGGCACTAGGGCAGCTCGGGGAGGAGGAGGCAGGCAGGAGCCCGGCTACATAACAAGTTCGCCGGTGACAAGCGAGCTGATTGGCTGAGCGGCAACGGACGGCCGGGCGCTGATTGGCTGCCGGTCACGCTGAGAGCCTGGTGACGTCAGCAGAGTCAGCTTATAGAGCATGGTTGTTGTGCTAGCAGTGGGTCCCAGTAAGAGGGCTGCCAGCAGCATGTTACCAGGGGTCCATCCCTGAAAGCGTGTTAACAGGGGGTCCATCCCTGAAAGCGTGTTAACAGGGGGTCCATCCCTGAAAGCATGTTAACAGGGGGTCCATCCCTGAAAGCATGTTAACAGGGGTCCATCCCTGAAAGCATGTTAACAGGGGTCCATCCCTGAAAGCGTGTTAACAGGGGTCCATCCCTGAAAGCATGTTAACAGGGGTCCATCCCTGAAAGCGTGTTAACAGGGGGTCCATCCCTGAAAGCGTGTTAACAGGGGGTCCATCCCTGAAAGCGTGTTAACAGGGGTCCATCCCTGAAAGCGTGTTAACAGGGGTCCATCCCTGAAAGCGTGTTACCAGGGGGTCCATCCCTGAAAGCGTGTTAACAGGGGGTCCATCCCTGAAAGCATGTTAACAGGGGGTCCATCCCTGAAAGCGTGTTAACAGGGGTCCATCCCTGAAAGCGTGTTAACAGGGGGTCCATCCCTGAAAGCGTGTTAACAGGGGGTCAATTCCAAGTGTAAGGCCAGAGCGGCCAAACTGAAAGCATGTTAACAGGGGGTCAATTCCTGAAAGCATGTTAGCAGGGGCCAATTCCTGGGGAGTCAATTCCAAGTTTAACAGGGGGTCCATCCTGAAAGCGTGTTAACAGGGGCCCATCCTGAAAGCTGTTAACAGGGGTCATCCCTGAAAGCGTGTTAACAGGGGATCCATCCCTGAAAGCGTGTTAACAGGGGGTCAATTCCAAGTGTAAGGCCAGAGCGGCCAAACTGAAAGCATGTTAACAGGGGGTCAATTCCTGAAAGCATGTTAGCAGGGAGCCAATTCCTGAAAGCACGTTAACAGAGGGTCAATTCCTGAAAGCATGTTAACAGGGGGTCCATCCCTGAAAGCATGTTAACAGGGGGTCAATTCCAAGTGTAAGGCCAGAGCGGCCAAACTGAAAGCATGTTAACAGGGGTTCAATTCCTGAAAGCATGTTAACAGGGGGTCCATGCCCAAAAGCATGTTAACAGGGGGTCAATTCCAAGTTTAAGGCCAGAGTAGCCAAACTGAAAGCATGTTAACAGGGGGTCAATTCCTGAAAGCATGTTAGCAGGGAGCCAATTCCAAGTGTAAGGCCAGAGCAGCCAAACTGAAAACATGTTAACAGGGGGTCAATTCCTGAAAGCATGTTAACAGGGGGTCAATTCCAAGTGTAAGGCCAGAGCAGCCAAACTGAAAACATGTTAACAGGGGGTCAATTCCTGAAAGCATGTTAATAGGGGGTTCAATTCCAAGTGTAAGGCCAGAGTAGCCAAACTGAAAGCATGTTAACAGGGGGTCAATTCCTGAAAGCATGTTAACAGGGGGTCAATTCCAAGTGTAATGCCAGAGCGGCCAAACTGAAAGCATGTTAACAGGGGGTCAATTTCTGAAAGCATGTTAACAGGGGGTCAATTCCAAGTGTAAGGCCAGAGCGGCCAAACTGAAAGCATGTTAACAGGGGGTCAATTCCAAGTGTAAGGCCAGAGCGGCCGAACTGAAAGCATGTTAACGGGGTCAATTCCAAATGTAAGGCCAGAGTAGCCAAACTGAAAGCATGTTAACAGGGGGTTGTAGCGGAGATCTAGTATTCCACAAGTTATCTCCGCTTAAGATCCCAGTGAGGCTCAGGAACAAGTATTTATAAATCCATAAGGCAAGGTTTCCAGCAGGTAAAATAATATAGCAATATCCCAACAGCGATCCCAATGACTGGACGACACACAGCATCAGGAGCAGAACTAAACTTTTATTCACACAGTGGCCTTATAAAGCATGCTCCCATGCAAGGGAGGGATTTACAGTAATTACTACAGTGTCCAATCATCCTCGAGTAACCTCCCACACATCTCCTCCCCTTAGCCTGACTCATAATCCCCTTATACAGTACACAAATTCCCCCAGTTTCTGGATGTACCCCTAAACTTAGGGGTACCCCTTTAAATGTCACTTCCCCTGGTAGCCCTGATCTGGGTGAGGAACATATCCAAAAATCACCCAGATCGGACCAGGGGTTCGGGAAATCTGTGGAGGTAATAAAAAGACCGACCGCGCTGGAGAGAACAGCCGAAATTGGTTCCATGAGATGGGGCCCTGCGGTCGGTCACAGTACAAGGGAACAAACTGCACGAATTGCTAGGGTTACAGAGATCAGGGAGGGTTCGCATGAATCCCCTCGTTCGGTTGTTTCTTCCTACCGAACGGGGGGTCATTCGGTAGTTTGGAAGGAAATACAAGGTTAGTGTGGAGGTCTCTGCGGTGTTCGCCTAGTCGAGTGTCCGATTTGGGTTCCAGACACTCGACGGCAAAACAGGGGGTCAATTCCAAGTGTAAGGCCAGAGCGGCCAAACTGAAAGCATGTTAACAGGGGGTCAATTCCTGAAAGCATGTTAACAGGGAGTCAATTCCTGAAAGCATGTTAACAGGGGGTCAATTCCAAGTGTAAGGCCAGACCGGCCAAACTGAAAGCATGTTAACAGGGGGTCAATTCCTGAAAGCATGTTAACAGGGGGTCAATTCCAAGTATAAGGCCAGAGTAGCCAAACTGAAAGCATGCCTGAACTTGAAGAATTTATACAGTTTAGGCTGTTTTTATTTATTTTTTAATCTTATATTTGTAAATGAGGTGGAATTCTCACGTTAGTGAATTTCAAACTTTAGTGGAAAATAGACGAATTTAAAAAAAAATAACAGCGTCACTTCCGCTATTTTACCATGAAAATTGAAGCCCCGCGCATGTTTAATTTGCATAAACATTTACAGAGTTATTTACTGAAGTGTGAACTCAAAGGGAATTTCAAGTTTAAAGGACCACTATAGGCACCCAGAAAGCATTGAGAAATGCTTTCCTATGGACTGACTCTTGCCGCGCATTCAGCCAATGAAGTCCGAAGGAGGAGGAGAGTCCCCAGCGCCGAGGGAGAAAGGTAAGCCTTTAACCCCTTCCTCCCACTTCAGCACTATAGTGTTTTCCTGGCACTATAGTGGTCCTTTAAGTCCAGAGCAGCTAAAATTAAAGCATGGCTGTCTGAGATAACATTTACAATTTGGCGATTTTTACCTTATAGGAACACTATAAGCACCAAAACCACTTAATCTCATTTGAAGTGATCTGGGTGCACCGGCCCTGCTATTTTTCTCCTGCAATGTAAAACATTGCTATTTTGCATATACAGTAATGTTTAGACAAAGTACATTTAGTTTATTTTTAAGCCAGTTTTATAAGTGGGGATTCGCTGATTAACTGCGAGCATCAGTTGACCAAGAGCATCAGTTGACTGCACTCAATCAATTAATGGTGCCACTGCCCGATACCTTCCGTTTTAGAGATTTTTACAAAACGGAAGGGCACAGAGGCAGGGAGATCTGGCCATGGAACACAGACTTTGGTGTTAAATTATTCAAGAACAGTTTAACAACTTAAGATGACCCAGTGACTCTTGGCACAACAACAACTTAATTTCGATTTAGTTGTTTTGGTACCCAGAGTCGTTCTTTAATGAACTGATTTGGAGACTTATATGCCTTACATATGAAAATAGTGGCATTTCTTAGAAATGGCATTGTTTATATTTTGCAACGCCCATGTGCCTAGCGTCAGGATTACTAGTTGATCCAGCACGCAGAATTATATCACACCTAGGACTAAAGGTAACGTCTTACCAGGCCTTACAATGGTCGGACTTAATGTACCAGAGAATAGTCAGAATACTTGCCAAGGTCAGGGACACTGAAGGAGACACAACGATGAGGGAAAGCCAAAAGTCAAGGATACCAGAATACAGGGAAGTCAAAACGAAACCAAAGTCAATAACCAGAATTTAAACGAACAGGAACACACTCTCGGATAACCAACTAAGGGAAACCATGACAGGGCACTGAACAAAAGGTAATATGGGTTTAAATAACCCTCCTTAGTCTGTAATTGGCTGTCTCTGCCCTCTGACCCCAAAACTATGACGTGATGCCGCACGCACATTGGCGCCATCTTTGATATGGACGCAGGTAAGTTGTTTCTAAAATTCCGGCCAGCAGCAGCCGGCGTTCCTAAGAACGTCGCACCCGCTCGGGACTGGAACGGAGGGAGACCAGTTAGCTGCCTGCCGAGCCCCAGGTAAGTTGACAACATCTCTGGTGGCGTGGCTGCTATGTTTGCGTGAAGGCACGGCAGGCCCATACCCCTTCCAATCAACTAAGTACTGCAAGGAACAATGAGAAAACCTGGAATCAATTATGGAGGAGACTTCGTATTCCTCCTGTCCAGAAATGACCAAAGGAGGAGGGGGAACAATTGGGACAGTATACCTATTGGAAATAAGTGGTTTGAGTAAGCAGGCATGAAATGTATTAGGTATATGCAAGGAGCCTGGAAGAGCCAGAGAATAAGAAACAGGGTTAATTCTCCGAACAACACGAAATGGACCAAGAAAACTGGGGGCAATCTTCATGCTAGGAACTTTTAGTTTGATGTTGCGCGAAGATAACCACACCCTCTCACCCACCTGGTAAACAGGGTGGGCACCCCGCCATTTACCAGCATGAAATTTAAAACGAGCAGCTGCAGTCTCAAGAGCGGAGTGAACCTTGGTCCCAGTATCACGAATAGAAGTAAGGTGATCATCCAGAGCAGGAATAGCAGTGTCAGAGAACACGGCCGGTAGAACAGTAGGATGACGGCCGTTATTGACAAAAAATGGATATGCCCGGATGAGTCATGGGTAGCATTAATCCTGGCAAACTAGGCCCAAGGTAGCCAGTCAGACCAATTATCCTGTGTGTTATTCACAAAACAACGTAAATACAGTTACAAGGATTGGTTAGCCCTTTCAGCCGTACCATAAGTTTGGGGATGGTAAGAGGAAGAAAATGACAATTCAATACCCAGCTGTTTGCTAAAAGCTCTGCAAAAATAAAGAGACAAACTGAGAACCCCTGTCATGCGCAATATTTTGAGGAATACCGTGTAGTCTGACAATGTCGCATATAAATATCAAAACCAGATCTTGTGAACATGGCAATTTTTTGAGTTGAA